AAAGCAAAGCAAAGCAAAGCAAAGCAAAGCAAAGCAAAGCAAAGCAAAGCAAAGCAAAGCAAACCTCACACTAACGGCCAAAGCAGTGCACATGCACCTCCATAAAAATAAAATGAATCACTAGTTTCATCAATCAGTAGATACATAATTTGATATGGCTTACATGTTGGACTTAGTATTTAAAGACTTTCAAACAGCTGTCATAATTATGTTCAAGGACTCAAAGAAAAATAAAGGAGCAAGACTTTCCACTAAGGTATCATTGAGTTCCCCTGAAGAACCTTAAGCCCTGATAATTGCAGTGCGCCCCACACCAGCTGACCACATACCTGCATCTGCAGAAAGCAACAACTAGAGAGTCACAGACGTGCACAGGAAGAAGTTATCAGCACGTGGGGGACTAGTAGATGCGAAGGAGACAGGGATAGAGAGACGAGAACTGTTGACACTGTGTATGTGTCTGGGCCCATTTGAGCTTCTATAGTAAAATACTTTAGACTGAGTAGTTTACAGGTGATAGGAATTTGTTTCTCACAGTTCTGGAGGTTAGGAAGTCTAAGATCAAGGTGCAGATAGAGTTGGTGTCTGATGGGGGCTTGTTTTCTGCTTTAGTGATGGTGGCTTTTGATGCTAACAAGGAATAAAGGGCCAAAGAAGCAAACTTGCTCTCTTATAAGGGCGTTGGTCCTGTCCTGGAAGGTGTTTTTTGTTTGTGTGGTTGGTTGTTTTGGTTTTTTTTTTTTTTTTTTTTTTTTTTTGGTTTTGCTGCTGGAGATTGAATAAAAGGCCTCATATATGATTGACAAGTACTTTACTACTAAGATGCTCATCTTTTCAGACGTCAGTCCTTGAAGATAGAGCTCTCATGACCTAACCATCAAAGGGTCACCAAAGGCCCTACCCTTAATACTATTACTGTGAGGCTTAAATTCCAACATGTGCATTTGAGAGGAACACTGGCATGCAGACTAACAGGGAGCATGAGCTCTCTCCCCATTGTTTGGAATAATAAAGCAGCTATTACAGTAGCAAGTAACACTTTTCATTCTGTCCATGGATAAAAGATGGATGCAAATGATTTGGAAAATACTTTGGGAAGCTGAGAGTAAGGTTCACCAATAGCAGTTTGTGGAAGCTGCTTAAAATGCTGCCAGCTACTGGTGAATCATGTAGGATGGTCATGAGACTTTCATCAGAACTTAATTTATTGTGTTAATGTGCTTTCAGAGTAAAATTAATACAGTTTAGTTTGTATAAAACTGTTTCACATATTTTAGATTTTAGTTTGGCTCAATAAATCTCGTATTTCTTATAGCCTGCCCTCAAGGGCTAAGCAAAGCCCTTGCAGTCTCCAAGAGGCCCTAAAAGGGTTACATAAAAGTGATAAAATCAAGAAATTGTGTTGTCAGATCAGATTTCTGTTAATTATAGATCCTTCCAGTGCCAACTTATTTAGGATCAGAACCTACAAATCCAAAGAAACGAATAGAAGTCTTTATTGGAAAAACTTGAGGCTTAAAATGTTTTCCAAAATCCTCTTTCTCCTGAATTAGAATGTGTTTCAGTTTTGTATTTTAGTCTAAGCATTGTGTAGAGACATTGACTACAAAAAGGGAACTTTTGATTATGCATCATAACAGTGTCCTTCTAAATTCATAAATTCAAAGTGGGTACTTTCCTCCCTCTATGCCATAGCAGATCCATCTGCTCTGAAATACTTACAGAATTGAAAGGGGAATTCTATAGTAATAATTGAAGCCTTAAGAACAGCACTTTCAACAGTGGATACATCTCAAAATATCAATAATAAAAACAGAAGACTTGAACCATAGTAGAGAACAGTGGAACTTAACTGCAACATCAGAAAACATTTTTTCTGTACACATGGAACATTCTCCAGAATAGACTGTAAAGCAATCGCAATAAATTTTAATATGGAAATCCCCAGTGTGTTCTCTGCCCAAATGGCACAAATTCTAAAAACAAATAACAGAAGGAAAACTAAAAAATTCACAGCTACTATGTAGAATTTAAACAATAAACTCTTAAGCAACCAATGTGTCAAAGAAGAAACCTTTGTCAAAGTCTTCTCAAAATTAGGAGAGAACACATTTTATTTTATGAGGCCAAAGTTACCCTGATACCAAAGCCAGAAAAAGACATTGCAAGAACAGTATAGAGTAATATGCCAGCAACACTAATCCACATTTTCAAATTAAAGATCTTTATCATCTCTCCAGGAAATAAAATGTAAGATGGATCAGCTGTGTTAACCACTTAACGGTTTAGCCCAAGTGTCATTCAGGCAATGTGTTTGTTTATGTAGTGACTATGCCGAGTGTCGCTGAACGTTTTAAGATATACCATATATAGAAAAATTATTGAGTAAATTTGATAAAATTGTCATCTTTACATTTCCTGATATATTATCTTATAAAAATTACGTAAACGTTCACCAGTTTTGGTTACCCTGTATTTAAATAATCGGACTGATAAGGGGGGTACTCCACTAGAGAGTATTCACAGGGAGACCGTCTGGGCCTCATAGTGTTAAATCGTCCAATGAGAATGACTTTTCAGTTTACACACACGGCTCTCTTCTGCCAAATGTTTCACTTGCCACCAGTGAGGATGCTAAGAATGTGATGAGCTTTCATGTCATTTAACCAAAGTGCCCATTTGTTGTTGTTGGTTCATGATATCAGACTCCTTTCAGATGCACAGATGCACATATATGGGCAGAAACACCAGTAGTGAACAAGATCAGATTAAAGGTTCTTCCTCCATAGTTGTTCAAGCCATTTACAAAGCACAGAATACAAATACATGAAAAGAGCTAAGAAGATGCTGAATATCACCTCCAACCCAGCATACCCTCCGTTATTATCAATATCTGTTTATATTTTTGTCTTTTGGACTGGAGTCTGAGTTCCTTGAACATAGGCAATAGATTATAATAAATGAGCAATATAGTTTTATCATTAATGTCAGGTATGATGCCCACACAGACTTGTTTCTCAGTGAAGGTCATTTCAGTGAATGAGCATATATACAGTATAAGATTTCTCATTAATGCTTATGCTGTTACAGTTTCATTGTTGCATCTAATGGCAATGTTCTTTTCCATCTCCTGGATATTGCCATGCAGGCATACACAAACGACCTAATATAATACACACTTACAGTGCCTTCTAAGGAGACTTCTTTGAAATCCTATCTATATCTTTATATTCTACCTCTTCTGCTAGCTAGCACTTGTAGGGGCCAGGGATGTAGCTCAGTGGCATAAGCACTTGCCTGGTAAGCCTGAGGTCGTAAGTTTGATTCCCGGTACCAAAAAAAAAAAGAACTCAATTACTGACATTTGTTGTATCTCCCTGTTGCTTATGTCTTTTGTAAGCTTATCTCAATCCTTGCACATAATATACTTTATTATAATTGTGAAGGTTTATGTCTATTTCCCTTTATGTGGGAATTAATCAACAGAGAGTGTCTGTAGATGAATTAATCAACAAATGAACTTAAAATCAGGAGAAAACAGTAAGAAAATGGTAATAAAGAACAAATAACCATTGTTATAATGATAAAGTAATAATTAGCCACCAGCCATTCTGACATGGATATAGTAGTTGAAAAGAGCTGGAGGAAGTATGTTAGCAAAGACATGAGATGAGAATTATGGTCTTCACTCCCTTTACCACTGGTACTTGTAGGAGTTTTGCCGCTGTTACAAGTGAGAGTTTCCAGAGAAAACATGGACAGCATGAATCATTCTCTAGTTTATGAAGTAATGTGGAATCACAAAATGTCTTTTCTGGACTCCCAAGTTTTCCTAAATCCCAGGAAGGCAAAAATTACAAATTGAAGATATACTCAGATAAAGTTGTAGGAACAGTGAACTCTGCCTGAAGATTTTTGTTTTTACAATATAGGTACTTTACAGGCACTGTGTTGCTGCTCTAGCCCAGCTCAGTATTTTTTACACTTAATAAGAATGTTACTGTTGGTCTCAATGAATACAATAAAAGTCATTATAAGTAATATCTTAGTATAATACTGAAAGTAAAATGCCATTACAAATCTAAGAGCCTAATTCTTTCTACTCTTTCTTAATTTGGAGCTGATTTCCACCTTATGGCTATATGAAATTTTAAAATCTATCACAACCACACCTTAAAAAATAAAGGAGGGACAGGGAGTTAGCTCAGGGGCACACATCTACCTTGCAAGCCTGAGGGCCTGAGTTTGATTCTTGGTACCCTCCAAAAAAAAAAAAAAATAGAATAAAATGTTTATGTATAAATTTGATATTAAACTATCAGCATTTTAGCAATAAAATTTCAAATTTTTGTTTCTAAATTCATTGTTGGGAGACTGCCTACAATGGTAGGAAATCTAAATTTTAGCTTGGTGGTGAAGGAAAGTTTTGGAAACATTAGCTGTCATTTCAAAGTAAGGCTAGTAATTATGTGGATTATTTACTGTGCAATATATAAAGTCAGCCCTACATGTCCACAGGTTCTACATCTGCTGATTCAAACAAGCACGATTTGAAAATATTTAAGAAATATTTGCATCTATATTGAACAGGCACAGACTTTTTTCTTGTCATTATTTCTTAAATAACATTGTATAGCAACTATTTAAGTGGGTTTTACATTATATTTGGCATCAAAAGTAATCGAGATGATTCAAATATGTAGGGGAATGTATTTAAATTGTATGCAAATACAATTTTTCTATATATTTCCTATAGGTTTTTGGGTCCTGGAATTGGTCCTCCACAGACACCGAGACAAGTGTATTCATGATTGTGTGTTCTCTTCCTCTGCCTATGATTCATAGGTCATACCAGAATTAAATTAAATGTGTTTGTCTGAAGACCCAGTGGCCTACCTGTTAGGACAAGTCTCTCTTCATCCAGCAGTTGAACGTAGTGCTACATTGTTTTTGTTTGTTTGGAATCAGTGACAGTATTTTGAAAATCCTTTATTTATTTTGTTTTGAAGGAGGAGAGATTGATGTTAATGTTACAGAAAAGTTTCCAGGAAATATTGGAATAGAATTTAAAGATAAAGAACACTGGGAGATGGTGGATAATCTACCAATTGATGGTACGTATATCAAATGGCAATATATTTATTAAATCATGTCTCTTCGAAGGAACATATGTTATCTTATAATCATTACTATAATAGTTATAATTTCTATCTAAGAATAAGTTTGGTTAAAGAAACTTTTGGGAGGCATTGCTCTTTTACCTTAAGAAGTATCAAATATGTGTCATCTTGCTTTTAGTTGGAGAATCACTTGAGTCATTAGTTAGAAGTCCCTCTACCATGGCTGAAAAATGCTGGCTTTATTCTTCAATCCATTGCAAGTCCCAGAGTTTCAAATGAGAAAAGGAGGGAAGAGAGAAGCATAAGAATGGAAAGGAATAAGAAATTGCAAAGAAGTGAGAGTATGGGGAGAGTTCAGCCTGCTAGAGTCCTATTGGCCTTGGGGCCAATGAATGAAAAGTGGCCTTGTTTTCAATTTGTTTCACTATTTGTTAAGAATTCAGTATTTCAAATTTTTAAGAAGATTATTGAGAATAAATCAGTACTTTGTATGGAAATATAAAGTGTGACTTTGTGAAATGGTGGCTTCTGTGCTGCCTTAGATCTTTATATCATTTAAGTGAAACTTTGATATTTTTCTTAAGTCTGATAGAAAGAGCTTTCACCATAGGTTGATGGTATGGAGATCTTTAAAAAATGAATGAAAGAAGACATTAAATTTTCATCCTTGCCACCCTTCACATGTTCAGTTGGAATATTTATTCTTCTTTTGATCTGTTATTCTGCATATTTTCTATGTAGTATTTTAACAAGAGTTTCAAAATTTATTGAAAGCTTGCAATTTGATACAAAGAACAAAGAAATAGTATTTATTAAGAATTTTGCAGATTAAGAAAAAGTTTTCCATGTATAAAATAAGAAAAATCAATCTTTTAGATAGAATCTGAAATTTGTTTCTATCTATTGTGAGTTTAAAAACTCACAGTGGAACTCAGCTCTAAATACAAACAAATTCTGTTTGAAAAACTTAATAAGTTCTGTGGCCAGCACAGCTCTTGAACCTCTGGAGGCAGACAGTGGAGGATGATATAAAACAAGAGTCAAGATGCAGAAAGCTGAAGTCAGGTGGAGCCTCCTCCCGTGGGAGAGAAAGAGCTGCCCAACAATGTAGCGCATGTATTTATACACTGAGGCGGTCATTGTCAGTTGAAACCCCTCTGCCTAGCAACTTGTTTGCTTGGCTCACCTCCAGCACCTTGCGTTCTCTGAGCTGGAACAGCTTGTTCATGTGGCTCACCTCTGGTGCTCTGTTTTCTCGGGGCTGGCTTTGCTTTAGCCCCACCCAGGTGACTGATCTCCAGCTTCAGCTTATTTATGGAGATCCCACAAATAAGTTCATTTTATTGGTAGTACCTTCTTTCACTGTGAGTATAAGCATTGCTGCAGTTTCCACAAAAGGCCATAGAAGAATCAAGGAAAAGAAAACAAACAGGACAAAGAAAATGGAAATAAGGTGAAAAAAATTATACTGAAAACTCAAAATCGGGGGTATAAGGTAGATACTGGGATGAAGGATAAGCAACTTTTCAAAAAAGTTCAGAGTTTGGGCAAATGAAAATAGCTCCTTGTTATTGTGTAGAAAGATGAAATCTCTAGTCTCCAGCTCTAGCGATAAACTATGTTTGCTGCACATTGCTATCTCAGCTTGTTCCCCAAATAACGTAAAGTGAAACCGATTTTAGTTTAATTATTTTATTGAATTTTTCTGGACAGTTAGAACAGTCAAAACAAAGTCCTGATTGTCCTTCAACATATTAAATAATAATAGAAAGACGAGTTATATTATCTTTTTATATCAGTAATGTGCTAATTTAATAATACACAGAAATTCATGTATTTTAATACTTTGGAAACATTCTCTATTTATTTATTCTCCGTCCTTATTGCTTTCCTAAGGAGAGAAGGTTAATGTGAATAATTTGGCCAGCGTTCTGGGGAAAATGGGGCTTAGTCTCACAGAAAAGGAAATGAAAAGCCTGACAGAAAACCTTAAAGGTGAGTATTGTAGAAATGACTGCCTTTGGAGAGAGTTTATACTTGTTCTTTTTTTTTAAGATTACTTTCTGAATCTATACCATTTCCATATAAATTCTTAGAATTGCTTTATCAATTTGTTCAAAAATAATGATGCAATTTTAATAGAAATAGTGTAACATCTAAGTTCATTAATAGAAATAGTGTAACATCTAATAGTGTAACATCTAAGTTCATTTGGGAGAATGGACATCACAGTTGAGACAGTTTTGTGGTTATAGATTAGAATAGACACCTCAAAACAATAAAAATGTATGTCTTAACAAACAGTATATCTTTCTCTTTATTTGAGTATTTTATTTCTTTTGTTATGTGTTATAGTTTTCAGTGCAGAGAACTTGGACATTTTTATTAGATTTACTCCCAATTATCTTTCTCCTTTATGCTATTGTAGGTGATTTTTAGCCTTTAATTTTCTAATTGTTGACTACTAGTATATAGAAACACAGCTGACTTTTCTATTGACCTGGTATACCACAGCTTTATTACATTCACTTATTAGTTAAAATATTTTTATAGATTCCATCGGGTTTTCTACTTATACAATCTTGTAATCAGAAAATGATGCCATTTTTTACTTCCTTTCTTCAAATGGTATAATGTTAGTTTTTGTTTTGTTTTGATTTCTTTTCTGTCTCCTCTCTTTGCATTGGCTAGGATTTCCAGTACATGTCTATTAGAAGAGATGATGGGAGATGATCTTTGTTTTATTCATAATCTTCGGCTAAAGGAGATTAATGTTTCACCACTGAGTGTTATTTTAGCCATAATATTTTCATAGATGTCCCATTAGATTTTTAGAATATCTTTTCTAAAAATCTTTTTTATATGCCACAATTAAAATGAGAAAAAATTTTGGACTTACTTACCATAATATCATATATATATGTATGTATGCATATATGTGTACAGCTCATTTCTATTATTTTAATTATCTTATTTTCCTAGTGACAAAATAAATTACATTTCTATGATGGCTATTGATGCAGGTGGTAGGTGGTTCTCTTTTGTCTCTGCTATTCATATGGCAGTTGCTGCTGAATAGTCATTAAAGCTTGTATGTTTATACTTGGAGTTCCATTTGTATAACTCTCACCTAACTATATTTTTACCTTTATACCTTTTGAAGGAGAAGAATTTGATATTAGTGATATGAAAAGTGTCCTAGAAAATATGGGCGTAGAACTTATACCTAAAGGAAGCCTGGAGCAGTTGAACAATTTACAGGCTGATGGTAAGGTTTTAAATAACAGCGTTGTGTTTAAGAGAACTTGCAGTGACGGGCATCTCTCGGTGTGCAGGAGGGAGCCCTCCTAAACTGAAACCCAAGGAGTAGCTGCGAAGTGCTGGTTATGCAGCTGCTGCAGGCCTGTTCCAGGAGGTTTGGGCTGAAAGCCTGCTATAAGTGGGGTATGTTAGCAAGGGACCCAGATCCCTCCCTTCCTGATGTTAACCACTCAGAGTGCCCTCTCCCTTTTTCAAAAAGGCGAACGGTGCAGAGAACTTGGACATTTTTATTAGATTTACTCCCTATTGTATTTCTCCTTTATGCTATTGTAGGTGATTTTTAGTCTTTAATTTTCTAATTGTTGACTACTAGTATATAGAAACACAGCTGACTTTTCTATTGACCTGGTACACCATGGCTTTATTACATTCACTTATTAGTTTAAATATTTTTATAGCTTCCATCGGGTTTTCTACTTACACAGTCTTGTAATTGGAAAATGATGCCATTTTTTACTTCCTTTCTTCAAATGGTATAATGTTAGTTTTTGTTTTGTTTTGATTTCTTTTCTGTCTCCTCTCCTTTCACTGGCTAGGATTTCCAGTACGTGTGTGAGTGGGCAGGGGGTGGTGCTGCTTGTCTGGTTGCACTCATGTTGGAGTGAAGAAAGATGTTTGGTAGCTGGGGAGGACACCAAAGCAAGATGCGCACCAATCCCCACTCCTGCAATGGACTGATAGCAAATTTTTAAAAAGCAAAGGCTTTCTAAAACTGCTTGGGATAAATTTCTAATAGTTCCACTTTAAGAAGAAGGCCTAACCAAGGCAGGCAGCACAGTAGTTTGAAAATAATCTGCTCAGTCAGTTACTAATGCCGCCACTAGGATAAAGAATTGCCTCTTCTTTCTTTAAAAACCAGTGAAAAGGTGTCCTCAAGATTAAACTGGAGGAATGAGAATATAAATAGAATGGGAGGAACTAATGGAGAAATGGAAAGAAATTAGAGGCTTAACAGGGAACAGTATGATGGATAGGCAAATCAGTCAGTAGAGAGTCCTATTAAGAAATATTTTCTTAACAATGTTAACACTATTTAAGATTAAATCATAAATTACTTAAGGCAAGTCATAAAATCTGTCGTTCTGAAGTTATGGCTTTTAAAACGAGTCACTAGATCTCTGGGGACCTGATTTGTACCTTCCTTACAGATGATGGGAAAGTCTATGAAAAGAGACTGATGGATGAAGTGAAAACTCTTAAAGGTATGTAAGACGCACAAAGAAAAGCAAGTAAATGTGAAACCATCATGTTGTGCATTTGTGCAATTTTCTAATCATTTGATTGTGATTTCTGCCGCTATTACCTATATTCTGATACCCTGTATTTTTTTAGTGTCCTCAATGTATTTTAGCAGTCATATATATTCTGTCATCTATGCTCTTGACGTTTTCCAAATTAGGGAAGGAAAAAATATAATTAGATACTAGGTTAGCACTTTAAAAAAATACATAATAGACATAAAAACTGATCAGAAACTTTAGCAAGAGTTGAGACATGCAATGTAGGGGCTGAGAAAATAAAAGCAAGCACTCCCTATTGATCAGAAGTCTTAATTGTAAATAGCTAAGCCGTTGCTCAACTAATAAAAAACAAATCAGCATAAGATATTCAGAGGGGCCAGAGATATAGCTCAGCAGTATAGCAACTGCTTGGGAAGCTTGAGATTGTGAGTTTGATTCCCAGTACCAAAGAAAATAAAAAGGTATTCTAATTCTAATTCTGATACTGGTATTTCTGGTACACTTGAGCAGACTTCATTGAGTCTTAGTCTTTGTGAATTATGATCATCATAATATCCTGAAAATAATACCTTTAACTAATACACGGTAATTATATTGCTTATATATTTCTCATTTTTAAAAAGAGGGATTGCTGATGTTAGTAAACTGGGCACTTTTCTAAACTATGGAGATGAACTGCACAGAAAATGAACGTAATGACCTTAAGCAAAACCTGCCAGTTGATAGTAGACAGTGAAAACATAATTAAATTGCTCATGATAGTCTGAGAATATAAGCTTCTATATAAGAATCTCTAAAAATAATTGTATTGCTCTAAAATATTCTTTAGAAGAACCTGTGGTAACACTGTTAGTTCCATTTTTCAAAATTTAAAAAAAAATTACAGTTCAAGTTTCATTTACCATTAATGGGAGTGTGATTATATCTACTATTAGATTAAATGTTTAAAAAATGATACTACTCATAGACAGATTTCATAGGGAGGACATAAAATACAGCAAACAGTAATCCAGAAGAATGTAAAAGGAGGAAAAAATAAATTGTTGGACAGCTCATCCAACTCTGTCCAGGGTGAACAAGTCCCCCGAACTAGGTGCCCGCAGATGTATAAGAAAAGTAAGAAAAAAATCAAACCAAGAGAGCCAGACTCCTGTGATCAGGTGCTAGCAGCCTCTAGGACCGACTGACTCCTGATTACCCTCGTCAGTAACCTTTTATTCAGAATCCACCCAGGAGGCAGCAGAAGAGTCGGAGGATATCAACTGTTTCAGCAAGGACAATACAACTCAATTATCATGGGAATAAGACCTGACCAGTAAGCCATCATGTTATGTTCCTTCGCCCATATCTCAACAAAGCATCTAGTATTGATCCCGGGGCTTACAATGCATATGCTAGACTTCCTCCAGAACCCAACAGTCATGGCTTGGTCAGGCCTCAGGCAAAACACAAAATAGTAACTAAAAAATGTCCTTCTCCATAATATTATCAAAGGCAGAAAAAAATTAAAATATTATCCCCTCTTCATTTACATAGGCAAAAAGGAAAAAAGAATAAGTGTGGGATTCCTACTTTACAGACATTAGCAGAGTCCTGGTGCTATCATGAACATTAGGGTCCATAACACGTTCAGGCTGGTCCCTGGCCTTACGTACAGATCTGTCCTTCTACTTGTGTTCTTGTACACATTCTGACACTCCTGGAACAGATTTTACGATCCAAAGCCTACTCACAAGCTGCAAATCCACTTTGATAAACTAAAGACCAACTCTTCATTTCAACAAATGCTTAGTTAGGGCTGAAGTGCAGTAAATCATAAAATAACGCCAAAGAAATATTAAAATGCTAAAGACATTAACCCGGATAAAAACTTTAGGAAAGTCAAGTAGCACATGCCTAAAATACTGTCTAATCACCAGTCAATACCAGATAAATCCATACTTGTTCACGTTACTCAGATACCACTTAGTTACATCACTATCTAATTTTCCTTTTGTACAGGAGAGACCTTTTCTAAGAAATATCTGTGTTAGTATATTCTGCCACTTTCCATTCTACACTTTGATCCATCATAAAGAACATGCATTATACTTTATGAGTTAATTTTCTTTATAGCTTTTAATTTCTTCTATGTAAGAAAGATGAAACTGCATGTGGATCCACTCAAGTCTCTCCAGAAAAACATACTTCTATTAGCTCAGTGGACCTACCTACAATTATACAGCTAGATAACTACTTATGGAGAAAGTTCAAGTAGCCTTACTTGAGACAGAAATTATCCATAGGACTTCATCTGTCATTGATTCACCCTGTCCCTCATTTTTAAAAGTATTATTATGGGGACAGTATTATCCTTGTCTCCCTACTATGAGAACCTGAAAGAGTAAATAAAATCTGAAAGGTACAATAGATAGTGTGAAAGGGGAAGAAACTGCTCAGAAGGAAAGAACAACTGGGATGAGGGAAAAGAAAGAAGGGAAAATATGTACATATATACAAGGTAGCTAAGGTAATTGTACTACTAATTTCTACTGCTTTCTTGAAAGGAACAGTTGATATTTAATTGATCATTCTTACATTTCTGTATTTGTTTCTCTGAGTAACCAATATGAAGATAATAGTATGTAGTACAACAATTAACCATTGTTAATTTCTTATCACCTTGTCTGAAATTCTGTATTGTTTTTATATTGTTTCATTTATGTCTGTGTATTTGTTAATATGTTTTGTTTCTTTTATTTTTAAAAATAAAGTTTTAAAAAGTATTATTATTTAACATCAATCAGAATACATAAAAGGTCTCTAGTGTATATATAGTAAAACTAGACATTTAAGAAAGAACACCTGGCTTTGTAAAATGGTTTTAATCACTGCTAGAGCATTTCTGAGCTATCAGAGAATATAACATTGGGATTGAGCCTGAAAAAGAGCTGAGGAAGATTTTGGACCTATATGCCCTATAAAATGATTTGGGGTAGTAACCCTTGCACTTCTTCCCTAGGCCATTACATTCTTATTGGGGTGGAGATATGGATTTATTGGAGTAAGCTAGATTTACCACATTAGCATTCAAAGATCCCTAGTAATGCCCACATTTCTAAGAACTGCCCAATAGATCAAGTGTTTCCCATACTTTATTGATCTGACATTGATTTTAATATGGAGGTCTTCCTGTTGCAACCCATCCTCAGTCGTGACTCCAGAATAGCCGCTTAATGAACTTCTAATATATTTTCCTTAGTTTCCCACATAGATAAGTATCATTGAACAACATAACTTATGTTACTGACTTTTAACTTAATATAGAATTATACTGTATAGACTGTATTGTTTGTAGCTTTTTTCAACCCTATGATGGATTCATTCGTGTTTTCATTTTTTAAAATCACAAGCCCAGATTCTATGAATAATAAGATATTCTGACACTCTGGGGTTCATGTGTGTCTCTAGAGTGCATATTTAGGTTTGAAATTGCTACAACTAGGTTATCGTCAATTTTGCAAGACAGTGCCAAACTCTTACACCAAATGGTTACATGAGAGTTCTTATTGTTCCATATTCTTTCCAAAACTGTGACCTCAATAATCTTGTTTTTCTTCATAGACATCCAGTTGTCCTGGCTCCAGTTTTTGAATGGTCTATCTTATCTTTGCTTCTGTGAGGCATTTGGATAGGATCAGTGAAGGATGAGTGAAATTTTGTGATCTACCTCTGTGAGGTGAACTTGAGCTATACGTCTGTACTAGGCCTGCCTGTACCCAGCTTGAGGATGACTTTTCCTTGTGCTTTCTGAACTTGTAGTTCCCTGGATGAGGGAGTAATGTAGGTTTATTTCTTATTTACTTTTACATTGAAGATTGTTTCCCTTTAGGATCCCAGCCTTATGGGGAGAGTATCTTCTTTGGACAGGTCCAGGTTTTTGGCTTTGTTCAGCTATACTCTATGAGGCCATCACCTTTAAAGCTCAAAATCAGTTTCAGCAGGTATGGTTAGGACATGGTGACAGTGTGCTTTCTTTTGTGAGTTTATGCTTTATGTTAGATTTTGGAGTGGTAGTTCTGACGCTCTTATCAGCTCTTGAGTGCTTCCAAAGAGATCCTTTTTATATTTTATCAAGATTTCAGTTATTTTCAGCAGGAAGATTTGTCTGAAGAGCATAGTCCCCCAAATGGAAACAGAACTTAATCACATATTTTAGTCAGGAATTCAGGTATCTAATCTAGAAGTTTAGAAAAAAAAACTCCCATTGTCAGCAATATTTTATTTATTTTACCCATTGCTGTAAATAACTGAGCAGTTGCTCAACCCCCTAGAATATGTCGATTCCAATTCCAACACCACTGTTGACACGATCACACCTGCACAGACATACAGTCTGAAGGGTCTGTGCTGAGCCTCGGTGTCTTCCTCATGAGACTGCTGACCAGGGATATCAGTGGTCACGTTTACAGTTGATATGTTTTTCCCATATTTTCTTGTTTCCAAGGAGGGATTATTGATGTCAGTAAGGTGGATGCTCTTTTGGAAGACACGGGGACAGATCTCGCAGAAAAGGAAATTAGTAATCTGACGCACGGTCCGCCAACTGATGGTGAGCATTTGAGAAATCTTTGTTATATATATTTCAAATATAGCTGTATCTATGTATTTGAAAGCAAGTGTGTGTTTGTCTTTTGACATTTTCAGCAGCTTTATTTCAGCTGAGAGTCCCGGCCGTTGGCACTATTAGATCAGGGCAGAATAAGAAAAGAGCTATACTGTTTGGGGAAGGGACACAGAATGGAAAAGACTTACAAACAGGAAAGCGTAACCAGAAGTGTGAAATTAATAATGGAACATTTCCTTAGCACAGATCCCCATCATTACTTTCAGTCGCATTTAAGAAGAAAGAAAGGGTCTAGGAAGCATGAGAGATGTAGAATCCATCTCCCACACCAGATGAAGAGTCCTCCAATACTCCGAAAGGGAGAAGATGTCCAGGCATGACTATGCGAAACGCCTGAGCCCAGTCCTCCTATTTACACTTCTGTTTACACTCTCACATTCCTGCGCTACATTCCATGGTCCAAAAACCATGTTCCCAGGTTTCTAATCTGCCTAGATGATCTAGGGTCAAACTAAATTTTAGCAAACATTGAGTACTGCATTAATTCCAAAGTAAAATAAGCAAAAGTTAAAGATACTAACCGGAAAACATGTCAGTGGGACTAAGTATTTTTATGGAATATAACTGATTATCTTATAACCTTAGACAAATTAATAACTTGCTCATCCCATTAAGTTTCTATATAATTCCAACATTGTACAGATTAGTGTTTCCTAAAATGTATGTTTTATTCATTTAGTTTTTAATTTTCAGTGCTTTTATTATACCAGAAGGAATACATAAGTGATTTTAATTGTTTTATTTTCTTTGCTTGCAATGGTATTACCATTATGAAATTTGAGTTTAGATGTGGAAACACCAATTTTCAGAATAAAAATTATATTTTAGCTTTAGAGTATGTCTGAAGTTGTGGCAGGATCAACTTTTTTCCTATTATTACTAATATGAACAGAATTAAGAGATAAAATACCTACTGTTTGCACATATCCCCTAGTCTTGCTATTGATTCTGCCTCACATTTTAAAATAACAATTTAAAGATCAAGGCAAATGAAAAATGTTTGTAGATAAAAACGTGTACATGAATAAAATGGAATAAGTATGGTATTTTTCCTTTTAACTCAAGGTTAGAATTTTTACATTACTGTTTGTTGGTGATCTGGTCTGCTGAGGAATTAACATTAGAATTGAGCATGACATCAAGCTTCCTGAAGGACTAGGGCTAAAGCCATATCCATATTTAAACTGTGGCGATAGAAGGACTTTAAGTTTCCTCCTTGGGGCAAAGTTTTTCTTATATGTCAGCAACTATATGTTAATTTATTGAGGAAGGCTAGATTTAAGTGAAAAGGGACCCAAAGAATATACCCACACTAAATAGCTAGCTCTATACCTAACAGGTGCTTTCAACTTTGTCTCTGAAAACCTGCCAGGAGCCCAGTGAAGCTGACACATATTTTCCACTTTCCTGATCTTGTTTGTTTTATTGTGCAAATAATTTTTAAAATTATTTGGCCTCATTATTTGGCCAGAAGAAAAAGAAGACATTCTGTTTGACCTAGAGTTTGCTAAAAAACAGCAATATATTTAGAACAAAGTCTATATATTTTGCCAATCACTATTCCAGTATTGGTTAATTCATATAACATGATAATGTTATGTGAATAAATAATAGATAATGTTATATGAATAAGTAATAGATAAATAACATATATATTATTTACTTCTAATATAAACCACTAAATATTTCAGTTTACATTTGTTGATTATCGAGAGGTTTCATTTGTAAACATTTCATGGTACAAGGGGTTTTTAAAAATATAATGTTATAATTTATCACTGACAATTTGAGAAAAATCAGAGAATTTTAAAGTCATTTACCAATAGTGAAAATCTTTTAGATTTTTTTTAGTACAAGGTAATGTAAATGATATCTCAAGGATCATTTAATTATGAGATAATTCTGTTCTTTAATATATTTCCATGTTAATATATTTTTAATATTGCTATTTATAAAGTGCTATTGAATATCTACTGTGAAAATATGCCAGTGAGAGTTGAGAGATTGGTCTAACATGATGAATATTTTACTCATATAAATAAGAATGAAGTAATCTGCCTAGTACAAGAGTTAGTACCACGAATCGACAAATGATATCATATCAAATAAAATGCTTCTGCACAGAAAAAAAAAAAAAAAAAAAACCCAGCCTACAGCAAAGAGACAACTAAAAGAATGGGAAAACATTTTTGCTAGCTAGTCCTTGGACAAAAGATTAATATCTAGAATATATAAAGAACTCAAAAACTTAGGCACACCCCCCAAATAAAGACCTACTCAAAAAGTGGGTAAATGAAATTAATAGACACTTCTCGGAAGTAAAAGTGCCCAATAAATACCCAAAAAAATTCAACATCTCTATTCATAAGAGACATGCAAATTAAAACAACACAGATTCCATCTTACTCCTGAAAGTATGGCTATCATGAAGAAATCAGATAAAAACAAATGCTGGAGAGGCTGTGGGGAAGCAGAACCCTTTTACATTGTGGAAGTGTAAACTAGTACAACCACTATGGAAATCACTATGGAGATTTCTCACAAAACTAAAACTAGAAATTACATTTGATCTTCTTCTATGTATCTCCCCCAAAGGGTCAAAGACATCATATTAGAGAGATGTTTATAGAAACACAATTTGTAATAAATAAATCTTAGAGGTGGCCTACATAACTATCAACAGATGAATATATAAAGAAAATGTATTTATACACATTGGAGTACTATTCTGCCATGAAGAAGGGTAAACTTAAATCATTTGTAGGAAAATGGATGCATCCTGAGATTATAATGTTGAGTGAAATAAATCAGACACATATAAGCTTAAATATCACATGGTTTCTCTTATATGAGAAATCCAAAACATAACTAAAGAGCAAAATATAGATAATAGGAAGTCAGGAGATAGATCTTTTTAAAATAGGAAAGGGATTGAGATAGAGGGGAGGAGAGAGGTGTATTGGGACTGGGAGAGTCTTCTGCAGTTGGAGCCAGCAGGGAGAGTGCAAGACACTGCTTCTGGAGTGGCCTTCCACAGTCAACAGTCAGTATGTGACCTCAGTACAAGTGCCGAAGCCCTGCTCCCCAGGTATATGAGCAGGAGCTGTCAGGGATGCTATTGCAGGGAAGGTCTGGGTATTTGAACCTGGGGCCCAGAACAATCCCTTGGCTACTCACACTACCACATTCCCACAGTGGATGAAGAAGGAAAGAGTCATAGAAGACTGCTGGAAATTGAAGCGCGGATTAGGAAGACACACCTGCTGAGAGGGCGTGGTGAGCACAGACCTAGCTCTTATGGGCAGAGGACAGTTTCAGGTACCCAGTACTGGGTATTGCTGCTGTGTTCCCACTGTAAGCAGATCTCCACATCCAGCACTGTTTTGGGGGTAGACTGCCACCTTAGACTTCCAGCATGGATGAGGACACATCCTGGCCTGAGCTTTCCTCCCTACCCCTGAGGCTGAGGCTAGGGTACATGTGCGAAACAGTAGAAAACTTTCTTTTACTATTCTTTATTTGATTGTTTTGTTTTTTTCTTTTTTCTTTTTACTTTACTTTTAACTTTTTAAAATTTTCTTTACTCTTTGCTATTCTCCTCTTCTGTACATTTCCCAGACACACACACTTTTATTCCATTGTTTTACCTGTTTTTCATTTATGAGCATGTCTGAGTATGGGTGCTTCTCTTCCTCTTGCTTTCTTGTCTCAATATATTTTGTAGAGGGTAAGAGAATTGTCCCTTGCCCACTTTTATACCTCCCACATTTATCCATATCTCTTTGCCTGAATATTTTCTCCTGTGTCTTATTTATTCTCAGTCTTTGATTTCTTTTCTCTCCACTTTTTCATTTGTTGCCATTTAACTTTTTCTCTAATATTTAAATCAATCATAGAAGCTTTTCTCATCCCCATTTCTCACTACCAATTTTGTACCCAGTTTTCCCTTCTAAACATACAGTAACATAGATCCTTTGGCCTCATCCTATTTCCTTCTTCCAAAACTGCAGAGCTAAAAAGTTTTTTTTTTTTTTTTAAAGAAAAAAAAAGAACTTTCTTCTTTTTTCTCCCCCCTTACCCCTCTGGCATTACTTAGTTCCCAACGTTCCCTGCAGTATAGATAACTATAAAATTACTGGTGAATGTTATTTTCACCATTAGAGGAGACACAGCCATTGCTTTAGGGCACATTAAATGTGAGTTAAGACTTGGTTTATTATGATGCTTCTACTATAACTCTGGATTTATTCTCTAGGATAATGGGAGACCTAAAATAGGGTCTCATGGTATGTTATTTCTCAACAAACCCTGAAGATACCACTGTAACAGATTAGCCTGTTAGTGCTGTAGCTGATTTGATTGCATAGGAATAATCCTCACTCAGTGGACTACTCAGTGTTAGTGAACCTGTCTGCCAAATCCACCATCACGCCCAGGGAGAGAGACAGCAAGAGTTCCTAACCCAGGAATTTGGGCTGGGTTACACTCTACAAGAATGCCTGCAAGCTGGCGGAAAGAAGTCCTGAATCTGAGTTAACTTCAGTATTACCGTGGAATTATCAGAGGAGTTATTGGGGTGTGAGCACCCAGACGCTCTGGCAAAGAAGCTACTTAGGAAGTACAAGCAATATCTCATTGGAATATTGAGCCTGATTTCCATCAGACATCTTATTGGTTTAAGTTTTTGTATGTTTCTTGATTTATTTAGCAATGTGAGGTTATGTTATATTCTTTTATACTTTACAGTGTTTATTAGATGGCTACTTTTCTGTCTTTGTTCTTTCACTGGCTCTGATTTAATGGGTGCATAGGTTTTCTACCTCTTCAAACCCCTGGGGCAATATTATTAACATATTTCTTTACTTTTCTTCCAAACATGTAAACTCCTCCTCTAAAGGTTTTTTTTTTTTTTTTTTTTTTTTTTT